CTTGGTAGTCCAGGCTGGCCTCGAACTCACAGAGATCCGCCTGGCTCTGCCTCCCGAGTGCTGGGATTAAAGGCATGCGCCACCACCGCCCGGCTAAAGTTACCTAGTTTTTAATGATCAGGAAATGAATGACATCATGATATAGGAATTCAACCAGGCACATGCCATCAAAGAGGTCCCAAAGTTCAAAGTATGGACTATCTGGTGAGTACTAGGCCAGCAAGGCTATTATGTGAGAGCATCTCAAAACATAAAACTAAAAAAAAAAGAAAAGAAAGAAGAAAATTTGGGCACTCAATAACACATACCTGATTACTAAGTTATAATTACATATAATTAACCATAATATGGAGAAATATTTAAGTATCTAAACACAGATATAAATTCACTAAAATGTTGCCTGAAACTTAAACTTAGCTAGCATTAATTCTAAGTCTTCACAAGAGAAAACAGAAAACCATCATACCTGAATTTTGGGGAGAATGGATACAATAGAAACTGCAACACAAAAAATCAGGTTAAGGCTGATGAAGACCTTGTTTTCTGTGCAGCCATCTGGTTTGGTGTAGAAGATGTAGAGCAACACAGCAAAGATGATCGAAAGGATATAAAACAAGCTTGTAAAAGACAGCAGAGCTGGAGGAAGGGAAAACTGTATCAATTTCCACCATCCGAATAAATGACTAAAATTAAGATCAATTTTCTTCTATGCTATGTAAGTAAAGAGACTCAATCCATTCCTATGGTGAGCAATAAGCTGCAGGAAAATTTGAGATGCCAAGGCTAAAGTTTTATTTTGTTTTTATTTATTTATTATTTTTTGAATCAGAGGTTCTCTGTGTAGTTTTGGTGCCTGTCCTGGATCTCTGTAGATCAGGCTGACCTTGAACTCACAGAGATCCACCTGGTTCTGCCTCCAGAGTGCTGGGATTAAAAGCATGCCACTGCCACCTGACTCATATTGTTTTTAAATGATTCTCCATTAAGCTCCAAAATCTACTAAGCAAATAAACTTGCAACCTGGATTACCTAACCTGGGTTTCATGGGTTCAATGAAAAGTATTTGGTGACTCCAGTTTTAGTCATCTCTGAATTACGTATTAAATATGTACATAAGCTTTTCTAGATGATTCCTGGTCTTTCAACAGTACAGTTCATGGTCAGGTGTGGTGGGTGGACACCTGTAATACTACCATTTGAGAAGCTAAAGCAGGAGCATCACAAGTTCAAGGCTAGCCTGAGCTACACAGAGCTCCTCTCCATTCACAAGTTCAAGGCTAGCCTGAGCTACACAGAGCTCCTCTCCATAAACAAGGTCACAGCTGACAGTAACTACATACCAGGGATGATGTCTGGGGTTAACAAAACAGACCCTCTCTGAGACAATTTCATTCTGCAGCCCCTGGATACTTAAACCTGGCTCCCATCACAAATTATAAGATAACCTTCCTAGTCTGGGAAAACAGTTCGTTTGCTACTTTTGCATAATCTACAGAAATATTCCTTTCCATTCACATAATCAATTAGCTGTACAATTGAATCTGAAAATGCCTGCTTAACATCTCTGCAGAGGTAGTTACATTATAAACTGAGAGTCCAACGACTAAATGTACTATGTTCACCTTCCAGCAATGCACACAATTCACAATAGGCTTAACTGACAAACTAGCTTTTTAAAAGGCAGCAACTATAGGAGTTGGAGAAGGCTCAGTGGTTAAGAGAATTTCTGGCTGCTCTTCCAGCAGACATGGGTTTCAGTCCCAAGGGAATATGGTGCCCCTTTTTGGCCTCCATAGGCACTGCACAAATGTGGTGCACAGACATAAATGCAGGTGAAACACCCACACACACAATTTAAGAAAAGAAGCTCTACATTGAGTTTATATATTTAAAACTGGAGATTTTATTATACTCCCTACTTAAGGTAACAGTATGACTCTCTGAAGTGAATTTAGATACTCACCAGCATACCAGAACCTTGGGTTTCCTTCTTCCATTCGATTTACCCACAATTCATTCCAAGAGTGAGCCATGTCTACCAAGAGCACCAGTTGGATGAAGATGAAGAAAGTGGCCCCAAGCATGCCAGCAAAAAACCAAACTGTAAACAAAGAGAACAGTTATTCTCCACCATAAGAGTAACGTTTCAGAATATGACTGCTAAACTTTACGAGCAGGAAAGAGAGAGGCAGTCTACAGCAGTACAGTATGATTATCTTATCATTTCAAACATACAGGTATTCTTTGAGGAATGTCAGCTGGATTTCATGCCTTTAAGAAGCATTGTGTGTGCGTGTGCGTGTGCGTGTGCGTGTGTGTGTGTGTGTGTGTGTGTGTGTGTGTGTGCATCAGAGAGACATCAGAGAATAATTTCTGTGAGTCTATCTCCTCCTTCCATCATGTAAGATCCAGAGGTCAAACTCAGGCTGGTCATCAGGCTTTGTGACAAATGCCTTTTAACCTCTGAGACCTTTTAAAACTTGTTTTAGTTTATGCCAAAGGGAGCCTAGTAAAATGATCTGTAAGAGATAGTTACCAACAACCAGTTAACAGTCCTTTAAAAAGGGCCAGACCAAGAGTAGGCTAATACCTCCAAAATGTCTCTTGGTGCTCAAACTCAAGGGGACATTGTTTTTTAAAGACAAAAACCACAATTACATCAGTGTTTGAGTGGGGTCGGAGTAACATCTGTCTCCCTGCAGCAATATTTTCCAGATACCATGTGACAATTATCGTTTATTTATACTTCCCCTAATTATTTAGCTTTGTTTTAGCTTGCATAAACAAAATTATCTTGGTTAATAAATCTAGACCATGGTCAGGGTCACAGATAGGCCAAATGCATTGCCAAGGTAGATGTGGCTATTGGGGAGTGGAAGGCTGAGAGTGTCTAGGCACACACACAGAGTTAGGACAAAATGGTGTTATTTAATCACTCCACTAGCACCTCACAGTCTAAGTAACTCCATAAGACTTTTTCTAAGCTGGGTGGTGGCACACACCTTTAATCCCAACCCTCAGTAGGCAGAGGCAGATGGATCTCTGAGTTCCAGGCAAGTCTGGTCTACAGAGCGAGATCCAGGAAAGTCAGGGCTACACAGAGAAACCAAAAAGAAAAAAGAAAAAAAAAAAAAAAGACATTCCCTTTACTGTTGGGAGTCCTGCACCCTAGCCTCAGATCAGTCTCAGGGCAAGGCACCTGTGGAAACAGACTCTCACTTGGCAAGGACCAGTAGTCCACTTGACAGTGCAGAATTTGCAAAATTCATGAACCTTACAGGGTCTTTTCTCTCTCATTTCATTGGTTGAGTCTTTGGGTGGTTCTGTTTTGTCAGTCACACATGCAATAGCTACAATTTTCCCTGGAAATTCTGCTCTTTCTTGAATATTTTCTCCTAACATTCAACAGGGACTAATGCTTCTCAAATCTTTTGTCTGGAGTTACTAACTATAACTGCCAATTCTGGGAACTTTTCTGACTCAATAGAGACAGGTACATAAGGGAAAACAACACTTAGAACATTAACCATGTCTCAGTTCTGGAAAGGAGAGCAGGGCATGCATACACAGACTAAGAAGAAAGCCTCAGGAATACACATAGTGCCAACTGTTGAGAGTAAGTTCCTTGGACACCAAGCATAGAATCATTGGTAGTGTTGCACCCACATCGTAAGACCCCCAAGCAAGACCACCACAGGGCTGATATCCGATGCAAACACACAGGGGTTTTATTGACTACAGGCAAACCTGGGGTTGGTCTGTGTCCAACACTCCAACACAGCGGGTGGAGGAGGTGCTGAGCTCTCAGAGTGAGGAGCTTTTAAAGAAAAAAACCTGCAAGCAGGGTGGTACAAGCCTTTGCGTCAAAGGATTGGGTAAGAATATGTAACCTTTGAATTTACTAGTGGGGGTCCAGAGGAATTTTCAACAACAGTTATCAGGACATTTAGAGCCCGCAGATGCTGTCCAAGGACATTTAGGACCAGCAGATGTTGTTTATCAAAATTACTCATTGGCCAGCCCACCCTGGTAGGGTCACCTCGACCAGGGCCCTGGCTGTTCATGATTTCTCTTAGAGCTGTTCCAAGGTTTTTACTGGAACTAAGTTCAGCTTTTGATCATGTGCTGTTTGAAATGGAGATTTTCTGTAATATGGAGTTTGTCTTGATCTCTCAGTAGGCTCTGGTATACTCCAAGAGGAAAAAATACAATGCAAAATATGGGATGGATAGATCCATCTTTACCATACATAAGAGCTTATATTGGTGGAAGAAGTATGGTATAGTGAGATGGGAAAAGAGCGCTTTGTCAAAGTCTGCTTTTTACATAGATACTGAGGCATGGGACCCTCTCGTAGAAAAGGGAAATGTATAAAAATGTATCTTGCAGACATGAAATAATTGTCTGGGTTTGAATATTGTCCTTAAAGCATTGTGCCCATGTCTATTACTTTTTAACTTCGTAAAGGCAACATGGTAACCTTGTAACGGCAAGTAGCTGCCAGCTGACATAACGATGTGTCTGGCTCCATATTTAGTTAAATCTGCAAAAATGCTGAACTCTGTGTCTAGAATAAGGTTATGTAGGGGTGGGAAGGTGTATTTGGGGAAGCATAAAGGGGAACAATGGGGGCTTTCATAATGATCATGATGCATTCCTTAAATATAAATATAAATATAAATATATATATTTCTTTTGTTTGTTTTGTTTTTTTGAGACAGGGTTTTTCTGTGTAGCTTTGGTGCCTGTCCTAGAACTCGCTCTGAAGACCAGGCTGGCCTCGAACTCACAGAGATCCACCTGCCAATGCCTCCCAAGTGCTGGGATTAAAGGTGTGCTGCACCACCACCACCACCACCACCACCACCACCACCACCACCGCCGCCGCCGCCCGGATTTATGATGTATTTCTTAAAGTCAAAAGTAGAAGCTAATAATAAAGCTGTTCGTGTAACCCTGGTAAGAAAAACTCTATTTAAGTATAAATAAAGACGGCCTGACCTATTCAGGGTCACTTGAGTGCAATCCACTTGGAGGTCAGGACCTGGACCTGAGCCGAGGCTGGACACTGACACTTTTACTTTAGGACGATGGGGGGGTGGGGGTGGGGGTGGGGAACCACTTCAGGAAACTGTCAGATGTCACTTGTTGCCATGTCATAGAAGCAAATTAAGACAGGGAAAGGCAGCATGGGAGTGTTGGGTCCTTATGTTGATAAGCTCTCTGGTGCCTTTTTCTCACCAAATGAAAAGGTAAACTATTAAATAGTACAAAAATTAACATACAGTTCCAGACAAGCTGAGAAGTGGTCTATCTCCTGGTTTTAATCCACCATTGTCTTAGTATGTAGTCATACAACTAGACAACATGTCTTAAAGACCAGGTCTATAAAATCACTAATGGAAATGCAGCTCTTAATCACCAGAGTTATACATGTGAACCCCTCAGCAGTAAGTCATACCTGAAGTAAAATGACCCCCAGGAATGTAGAAAGATCCAACCATGATACCAATAATGGCAGCAATTTTGAAGAACCAAAACCTATTAAAATAAAATAACACTTATGAGAAATGCTAACTTTTATTCTTATACTGAGAAAAATGCATTTCTGATTACAAAAATAAAGCCTAAATAGCATTTGCAACGTAACTATCTAGGCTTGTTTTTTTATTTGACCCGAGTCTATTTCACTCAATATTTCATACAATGTATTAAACCAAGCCTTGTAACATATGCCCGTGATTTCAGTTACTCTAGATGTTGAAGCATGAAGATACCTAGTTCCAGGCCAGCATGGGCTACAGAATAAAACAAAACCCTGTTTCAGTAAACCAAATAAAAAAAAGTAAGAGGGCTGAGGCCAGGCGATGCATATCTTTAATCCCAGCACTCAGGAAGCAGAGGCAGGTGGATCTCTGTGAGTGTGGGCCAGCCTGGTCTACAGAGTGAGTTCCAGGACAACTAGAGCTACACAGAGAGATCCTGTCTAGGAAGGCCTGGGCTCAGGATATAGCTCAGTATTAGAATGGTTGCCCAGGGCATACAAGGCCTGAGGTTCAATCTCATCACCACTGCCACACACACATATTATAAGCAATGTTATACTGATCCAGTAAAAAGAAAGCTGAGACTAATAACCCTTCAGATGAGCTTTATTAGAGTTATAGCATTATAGTCATAGGCAGCCATGGATAGCAAGTTAGGGGTCCTGAAGGGAAAAGGCCTTCAATTCCCTTCAGCACACTAAGAATATGAAGTGTTAACATCATGTTAGGACGTAAGGAAAAATTCCGGAAGAGGGTGGGTTATTGAGGAATTTGAAGAGGTTGCTTTAATACACAGTCTATGTGTGACCTAGTACAGGGGCTAGTAGTCTCAAGGCAGGATTGCACTAGATAAAAAATAAACATATAGTGCTCGCTAAAATTGGAATGATACAGAGAAGATTAGCATGGCCCCTGCGCAAGGATGACACACAAATTCATGAAGCATTCCATATTTTTAACTAAAGCTTATGTGCAATAAATAGATAGATAGATAGATAGATAAATAAATAAATAAATAGATAAATAAATAAATAAATAAATAAGCAAGCAAGCAGACATGTAGAGCCAGGTGGTGGTAGTGCACAGCTTTAATCACAGCACGTGGGAGGCAGAGGCAGGCCGATCTCTGAGTTTGTGACCCTCCCGGTCTATAGAGTAAGTTCCAGGACAACCAAGGCTATATAAACACAGAGAAACCCTGGCTCCAAAACAACAACAAAAAAAAACCAAGTAACAAAATCCATGTAATTCAAGGGTGGTGTGGCTTGCTGGTAGCTCCAACTGGGAGGAAGGAAACTGAACTCTGTAAGAGCTGCAAGAGCTGCAAGGTCACAGGATGTGTTGCTTATAGAGCGAGAGAGCTGGGGGTGGGGTGGAGTAGAATGATTTCTGTGCGAGGCAGCCAGAGGATCTGTAACCTAACAATTAGCATGCAAGATAAGTCATTTACATTCATGAGTAAATTTCAGAATTTTATTACTTTTAGCACATAAAGATAATGCTTTTTCTAGAATCATAAGTTCTAACAGTATTAGCTACATGGAGAGTCATTAATCATTACATTTATGGAAGAATTTATCTCCCAATCCTCCATTTACAACATAGGACACAAATTATCTTGTCCATAATCACAGAGCTCATTAGCAAAAAGGCCAGGACCAAATCTTACTTTCAATCTATAACTTTTACTAATGTCTTGAGCTGAGTATGGTGACACATACCAGTAATCCTATTAGGAAGGTAGAGGTATGAGAATCAGGATTTCAAGGCCAGCCTGGGCTAATGAGACCCTTTCTCAAAAAACTAGAGCAAACAACCAGCCAATGTGGCCTGCATGGCAAAACATGAAGTATCAAGCTTTGAGAACTGAACATACATAAACTTCAATTCTATCTTCAACCTTTTCCCACCTAAAAGATCCTAGGCTAAATATTTAGCTTCTCTGAAATTCACATCTATAATAAATACAACATTTACAAAGCTTCCATAAGCTTCCAACTGAGAAATTTTTGTGAAAGAGAAACTGTGGTCAGAAGGAGGAAGCAAGAGTATATATATATATATATATATATATATATTTTTTTTTTTCCTTTTTACTGTTTATCTTTCTTGTATACATATCTCAGGTACACGCGTATCTATAAATGAAAAAATGTGTCTAAACATCGTGTCTGATCTATTTTACAAGGTACTCTAGACATTCTAGAAAGCTATCAAAAATTACAATAACCTATCTTTCATGTACACATCTGACCACTGATTACGTATTCCATTGCTTCCATCCAAATGGCAATATTAATGGCCGAATGAGAGAAACCAAGCATACTGAAAGACAATCTTACATACCCATTGTGTATTGCTGCTCTGGGATCTTTACTTGTTTTTACTCTTAACATGAGCAAAAAGAAGGCAAAGAAAAAGATGGCCACAGCGAAGTTGATCCGATATACAGCTTTAAAACCAACCAGCACATCACAATCTTTCTCTGCATTTATATCAGGCATCTTGATTTGAAATCCTCCTTCACAGAATCCAGGAATCTGAGGAGGCAAGGAATTTCAATGCCATAACAACATCAACACTACAGAAATGCTATCTCACTCCAGAAGCAGGGATTTGTTTCAAAAAACAAAAAGGCTTGAGCGAAGGTGGGGGTCAGAGGGTGGAGGGTGGGAGAGACAGGGGAGGGTTGTTCAGCTATTTCAGGACTGAGAACTGAAATTTCTGACTTCCAATTGACAACAACCTTATTACCTAAGAATACAAACAACTCACATTTAAAAAACAAAAGCTGGACAGAGAAGTGGCTTAGCCATGACTTGTTGCTTTTGCAGAGGACCAGGATTCAGTTCCCAGAACAACCTGACTGCTCACAACTGCCCATCCATAATTCCAGTTCCAGGGGAGCCAATGCCTTCTGACTTTCAAAGGCATCAGGCACACATGGTGCACATACATACATGCAGGCAAAACACACTTGTACACATTATATATATATATATATATATATATATATATATATAGGTAGTTTGAATGTAATTGGCCCCCATAATCTTATAGAGAGTGGCACTATTAGGTGTGGCTTTGGTTGGAGTGGGTATAACACGCTTCCTCCAGAAGTGTCACTGTGGGGGATGAGCTTTGAGGTTTCCTATGCTCAGGATAACACCCAGTGTCTCAGTTAATTTTTTGTTGCCTGCAAGATGTAGGACTCTCATCTACTACTGCAGCACCACATCTGCCTACACACTGCCATGCTCCCTGCCATGATGATAATGGACTGAGCCTCTGAAACTGTGAGATACCCCAATTAAATGTTTTTCTTTATAAGAGTTGCTGTAGTCATAGTGTCTCTTCACAGCCATAAAAACCCTAAGACATACATATATATTCTCTCTCCCTCCCTCTCTCTCTCTCTCTCTCTCTTTAAGCTGACTGGTTATGAGTTAAGCCTGTAATCCCAAAGTCTGGGAGGCTGAAGTAATATAACCACAAGTTCCAAGTCAACCTATACTACACAGTGAGTTTAAGACTAGCCTCGGTCGCCGGGCGGTAGTGGCGTACGCCTTTAATCCCAGCACTCGGGAGGCAGAGGCAGGTGGATCTTTGTGAGTTCGAGGCCAGCCTGGTCTACAGAGCGAGATTCAGGAAAGGCGCAAGGCTACACAGAGAAACCCTGTCTCGAAAAAACCAAAAAAAAAAAAAAAAAGACTAGCCTCAGTCATTTAAAAAAGTCCTTCTCTGAAGACAGGATGTAGCTCAGTGGTAGAACACAGGATATTGCTATGGGTTTGGTCCTCAATTAACTCACCTTCCTGAGGTTATTTCAATTTTCCCACAGAATTTTTCAGCAACAACAAATTCCTTCCAAAGGGAAAGGAATATTGTAGCTTAAAGCTTATGCAAACAAGGAAAAGAGTCTTTTCTAAATTCTGTTTCCTCTGGATTGTTAGACTAGAGCCCAACAATGCTCATTATGACTTCTATGTCTGCATGAGGACTAACACCTCATATTCTGTGTCCTGATTACATCCACAGATAATTTAAACCAGGTGTGGCGGCACATACCTGGACTCTCAGTACCTGAAGTAAAGGCAGGACTATAAAAAGTTCAAGGCCAGCCTAAGCTACATAGTAAGTTTAAGGCCAGTCTAGGCTACAAGAAACCCTACCTCACAATAATAATTATAATAATAACACTATAATGTTAAAAGCCCTAAATTACTGCGGCTAGAGAGATGGTTCAATGGTTCCTCTAACAGAGGACTGGGGTTCAGATCCCAGAACTCATATAGTGACTCTCAACCATCCATAACTCCAGTTCCAAGGGACATGACACCCTCTTTGGACCTCTGCAGGTATGACACACACATTTGATGCACATATATACATATAAGCAGAACACTCATACACAGAAAATAACTCTTTAAAAAAGTATTTAAATGATCTTGATTGAATATGACAGGAGAAGTCTTGTAAAATATAGAAACAATACAAAGTAACCACATGGTAAGATGCTGTAACTTACCTTCTTCAGCTGAGTTTGTACGCCTTCTGTCATCATGATGCAAGACACAATAGTGCCGAGGAAGAGAAGAGAGGCATAGATGAGTCGAGTTACAGTGGAATTCTTACTGATGGGACAGCAGCTGCACAGCAGACATGATGCACCACTACAGAGGCATGGAACCTATAAGAACAACACCATGGGCCTTAAGAGATCCTTCGCTGCTGTTGAGGCAAACTGGGGTTTGGTAGTTTTAATAGAATCCTGTTTCATGTGGCACATGCCTAAAATCCCAGCACTTAGAAAGCAGAGGCCAAAGGATCATGAGTTCCAGGCTATGTGGGCTACAAATTAAGAAAATCAAGGCATAGAAACACACATGTGCAACCTCAGCATTAAGATGGAAGAGCATGAAAAGTTTGAAGCCAACCAGGGCTACATAGTAAGTCTGTCCCAAAACATAAAACAACGCAAGACAAAGCAAAATTGCAAAGGCTTTGGAGTCAATATAATTTCTGCCACTTTAGCAAATTATGTATCTAACTCGTTTTCTTTCTGTAAAATACTCATTAATAAAATAATCATTCTTTATTAATTACTATTAATAAATGAGCCCACCACACAGTGCCTAAAACATAGGCCAAGCTTCCAAAGTATTATATTCACAGAGAGCATATTTTGTGTGAAAACAATGTAAGAAAAACACAAACATAACTCTACTTTTTGTTTACTAAGAACCTTAGCTCCCAAACGATGATTACTACAAACAGGCATGGTGGCTCATGCCTCTAATTCCAGTACTTGTGAGGTAGAGGTAGGAAGATCTCTGTGAATCTGAGGCTAGTATGGTCTACATAGTGAGTTCCAGGCCTGCCAAGGCTACAAATTAAGACACTGTCTCAACATTGCCCCACCCCCAAAACAAGACAACATTATATACTTGTTTAAGAAACTACCTGACCTGCCTTGATACTTGAGGTTATCAAATCATAGTGCAAGAATAAGTTAATAGAGACTTATAAACAACTATAAACAATGGATGACTAGAGCTGAGAGATGGCTCAGCAATTAAGAGCACTTGTTTCTCGTGCAGGGGCTGGAGTTCACTTCCCAGTTACTCACATAGTGGCTTACAACCATCTCTAATTCCAGTTTTAAGGAATCCAAAGCCTACTTCTGATCTCTGTGGGCACCAGGCATGCAGCTGATGTACATACAGAAATGTAGGCAAAATACTCTACACATAAAATAATCTAAAACATTTAAATACAAAACTAAAAGACAATGGATGACTCTAGTCTTATGACTTGGTCTCAACAATCATCACCTTTCACAGATGTATCACGCTTTTGTATTAGAGCAAGCTGATTAACTTAGAAGTCTAGTTCTCTAAGATGTAAAGTGAGCCTAATGCCATTTATCATCTGAACAAGGTTACTGTGTGAAGAATAACACGTCTCAACTATAAAGTAACCAGCATAATTCCTGACTTAGAAAGGACTCAATATATTGCAGTAGATATGTCCAACTGGTTAGGGTCCAAGGAAACACTGAAGGAAATATCCAGCATCAAAGCAAACAAGAACAAAGAGCATTTATTATACCAGCACGCACGTGGGGTCCATCACCTGTACAAAATGGCCACAACCCCCGAGAGGGACCTGCAGGCTCCTTTTAGCACAGCTAAGGGGAGTTTCAGGGTCAGCTGCATAATTGGATAAGCAAGCAGCAGTTACATTAGTATATTTCTAATTGATTGCGTCTTATCACTTTTGAACACATCTGCACAAGCTTGGACCTGACTCAGAGGGGGCTGCTGGGTTTGTCCTTGAGATACTGTGAGGCTGACTTAGACCTTGTGTTTGTTCTCTCTCTTGACCCTGAATGTAAGGGCCTTGTAGATAAGTGGGAAAGACACCGGTTTGTCCTTTTCAGAGAACTGGAACCTAAATTCAGTTGTGAAAGGGGGAGCGGTTAACCCCTTCAGAAGAGTGAACTAGACCAGCCAGCCTCAGTCCAAAAGAGCCAAATTTTAGTGCAAATCTGGTTACTGTGATACAGTTGTTTTGAGCCAGGCATGGTGGGTGCAGGCCTACATCTCTGCAATTGAGAGGCAGAGGTAAAAGATGGCCACAAATTTGAGGCCAGCCTGGTCTACAAAAGCAAATTTCAAGGCTACATGCAACCCTATCTTAAAAATAAAACAAATCTTTAGAAGCCCCAATGAGACCAATGTCACAAGAATGAGAAATTCAGAGTCTTATCTGCAATACAGGGAAAAGCTAGATGAAGATTCGTGTGGTACTACTCTAATCTCAGAACAAGGCTACTTTTGCCTCAAAGCAGACTGAGCTCAGAGCATGGCCCCTACTGCCTCTGAGCAGAAGCAGAAAGTTATAACTTTAACAAGCTTTGGCTGCAATTTATTTTAGGGCATCCAAATTATCACTGTAAAAAAATGCCATTCCTGCTGGGAGGTGGGAGAGAATGTCTTTAATCCCAGCACCTAGGAGGCAGAGGCAGGCAGATCACTCTGAGTTCAAGGCCAGCCTGGTCTACAGAGTGAGTTCCAGGACAGCCAGAGAAACAGCCAGTTTCTACACAGAGAAACTCTGTCTTGAAAAAACAAATTCCATCCCACTTTTTCTGCCCCCCCATGCCACTTTTTTGTTTTTGTTTTTGTTTTTGTTTTTGAGACACCGGTCTCTCTATGTAGCCCTGCCTGTCCTGGAACTTGTTCTGTAAATCAGGCTGAGCTAGCCTTGATCTCATAGATCTGCCCACCTCTGCCTCCATAGTACAGGGATAAAAAGCATGTGCCACTATGCCCAGCCTATTCCACTCTTTAATGAGTAGGTTCCAACTCTGCTTGAAGCTTGACCCCCAGCCACCCCCATCTAACCTTGCACAGATAGTAAAATTTATTTCTCACGCAAATAATAAAAATTCTGCCTAACCATCAAGAAATGAACCTCATATTGCCACCCAGGGCACCAGCACTACACTGAAACTGTCTGCCAGATTTGAGCCACCATCCCAGTAGCCCCTTAGAATGAATGGCAGATAGTTTCTATTGTCTTGCCCACAGCAGCTATACTACAGTGTATCTAAATAAGCTCTCTATTGTCCTTTTTTGACTTTGGGGAATTATTCACATCCTGGGCATTATTGGCCTGTCAAGCCCAAATCTACAAGCCAAAGACAGTAAAAAGACTACCAGCAAACCAATACACCATTTACTTCTCTAGGTCATAAACACCTTGAAGGGAGGCCAACCTCTACTGTTGTACTTTACACCTTCGCATAGTAGGAAATCAGTAATTACCATGCAATCTGCCTGTCTACTCTATCCTCTGTCTTGTCCAGTTTCAAAAAAAAGACAACTCAACTCTTTCTGTTGCTCAGGCCAAAAACCTAGAGTCTCAAAGCCTCCCTCACCTGACTTAAAAGAGCAACTTCTAGAAAATGAGGTGGCCATAAATCCCCACTTACAGGGATGTTTTAAAGCGAGGCAAGAACCACTTCTCATGCTGGTGAAAAACAATCATCACATCTATCCCACTTATGTTTTCACAAGACAAAAATCTGTGTCCTCACACTAAGATACCCCTTTGCCTCTTCCTCTTTCCCTAAATCTGTTGTACAAGCGGCAAGATCTAATCACCTGCCTGAGTTACTCATCACAAAGAACTCAGGCTAACATATATGCTCTTCTCAGGAAAAAAAGAAAAGCCAGACAAGGTAGCTAGCACACATCTGCAACCCCAGTGCTGGGCTACAAAGTGAAATCCTGTCCCTCAAATAATAATAATTTGAAGCATTATTTTGTTAAAATATATAGGCCAGTTGTGGGAGCTCACACCTGTAACTCTAGCACTTGCTAGGCTAAGGTAGGAGGATTGCTGCAAGTTCAAGGCCAACCTGGGCTACAAAGTAAAAAAAGGAAAGGCTAAAATCCTTTGCCAGGCCGGGCGGTGGTGGCACATGCCTTTAGTCCCAGCACTCTGGAAGCAGAGGCAGTTAAACTGAGTCTGGTCTACAGAGCTAGTTCTAGGACAGCTAACACTGTTACACAGAGAAACCCTGTCTCAAAAAACAAAAATAAAATAAAATAAATTTAAAAAAAAAATCCTTTGCCAGAAGTGGTAGCACACACCTGTAATACTCTGGAGGCTAAATCAGGATTGTGAGTGAGAGGCCGGCATGGAACTGGGAATATAACTTGGGGACTCTCAGAGATGTGTTTACCATAAACAAGGTCATGGGTTCAATCTTAAATATCAAAATAAAAATTAAAAAAACATTATGTAAAAAATAAAACCATACAATGAGTATCTTCATAATTTGGCTCCTTGATATCCTGGCCCCTTTTGGGGGGGGGGTAGGAAATGGAGTGGGTACTGGCAGTTGGGAGATTAAACCCACAGCCTCTGGACAGCTACCATAAACTGTATTTTCACCTTCCTGTTTTGAGACAAGACCTCCCAAGTGCTGAGGTAACAAATGATCTGCCATGCCTGGCTCTCCACAGCATTTATTTCTATTGTTCTCTTCCCTCATTATACTCTTGTTACTAACCCCATACTGGAAAAAATGAATTAATAAAATATACAAGCAGTTTCTAGATGTAAATGCCTGGATTGCATCATTTCACAGAAAACCAAAACTTGAAATGAACAAGATATCTACGACATTACCTCTGCACCAAGACATGCTACTGACATGAGACAGAGACTGAATCCTTGGTTCATTACATCAGTTCGGGAATGAGAAAACAATTAGGAACTGGTTCAAGGTATCATGCTCCTCTGAGGCAGATTTGTTACATTATTCGCTATATTCTCTTTCCCAGACCCTAAAATTAACTTTTTTAAATGTTTTAAGAGCCGGGCGGTGGTGGCGCAAGCCTTTAACCCCAGCACTAGGAAGGTAGAGGCAAGCGGATCTCAGTGAGTTCGAGACCAGCCTGGTCTACAGAGCGAATGCCTTGACAGCCTCCAAAACTGCATAGAGAAACCCTGTCTCGGAGAAAAGGAAAAAAAAAAAAAAATGTTTTAACATTGACAAAGTGATTTGACTAATTTCTCCTCCCAACAGCTCTGGAGGAGAGAAATGCGAGGTTGTTTAATCCCAAAATGTTTAGGCCGCGGCGCTAGTAATTAAATAAATGGCTACAGCGAGCTGCAGCGGGGCTGACTTAAAATCCGCGTTCCCCAACCAACTCTGCAGAGCGCTGGCATATGCCGAGCTATGAAGAAAAAAAAAAATTACTCCAGCGACCCTAAATTTCACGACGCCACCTTCCACCCACTCCTGAACCCCCGCCTAGGAACCTGGGCATCGCCCGCCCTCCTCCCATTCCCCCGGAACCCAGGGTCCGGAAGGCTGGCGGGGGCGGGGCGTCGACATTGTAAACAATGGCGGCCCGGCCTCCCGCGACCCTCCGCCCACACCGAGAGCCAGCCGGGCCGCCGCACCCCGACCTCGGGACGTCGCCTACCGGGACCTGGATCAAACGAGCCACCCGAGCCTGCCCGCTCCTCTCTGCCGGCCTCGGACAGGATCGGGCCCGCCCTGGGGGTCCTGACAGCCATTCCCCGCGCGCCTGTGGCCCCGGAGGACCGAGGCCTCGGGACTCACCCAGCTGGCCAAGGAGAAGACGCCCAGCACGGCCCCCATGGTGACGCCGGGGCCGAGACCCTCCGCTCCGAGCGGCTGCCTGCGCGGTGGCTAACTGCCGGCTGAGGCGTCGCCTCAGAAACGCGGCGACGATTTCTCAAGCCGGAAACAGGGCCCGCCCTTCGCAGGACGCCCAGCACGTCATCGGGCGGCCCCGCCCACGGCCCCCTGACTCATTGGCTGAGGAGGAAGAAGGCGGGACCGAGTCCTCGAGGGGAAGGCGGGGCTACGGGTGCTGGCGTTGTAGGGGCCGGGAAGGGTTCAGGGCGTACGGCTCTGGGTTCTCTTAGGGCGGTGGTGATCCGAGGGGACGCAGAAGTGCAGAAGAGACACAGCATATCCCCTGCGAACTGAAGTTCTCTGAGCAGCTGCATCCGTATTAAACATCCTACGGACTGTTTAAGTGTGGCTGGGCAGTACGTTGTGATTATGGAGATGAAATGTGTGTCAGGTCGGAGGCAAAGAGGCTATGTTGGGTCATGTAATAACCAGTTAAGACCTGTAATCCCAGCACCAGAGAGGATCAGGATTCAAGGCTACAAGGCTACCCTAGGCTACATAAAGAGCTCCAGGCAAGCCTGGGCTACAGTGGGGCCCTGTATCTGAAGGAGGAGAGAGCTGTTCGTGCAGCCAGAAGCTGTGGTGCATGTCAGTAACCCCAGCACTGGGAAGAATGAGACAGGATGATAAAATACCAAGACTAGCCTGAGCTGTATAATGCGTTCTAGGCCAGGCCGCTGAGAGAGGAGAAAGGTTGATTCACATACCCTCTTCCACGGTGGAACTCGCCACACCATTCAGGGTTACATGAATCCATGTTCTAGAGCCATGGTCATATTGGGCTCAAAATAAGCTCTTAATTTCCGTTAAAGAAGGACCATTATTTTACGTCAACAACTCAGAATTTGGGACCCAGTTAAGAGGAGACTGACAACATAAAAGCTCCCTGTAGTATGTGATGAGTGTTGGGTCCAAAAGAAACTCAGAACAAACGGCTACCTGTGGTGTCTATTAGCATACCCAAAGCAAGCACGCCTCCAGGCTCACCTGGGGGTCCGCTCAGCTCTTCTCACCTCACCCCCTGCTCTAAACCTCTCCAGCCTACATGCTTCCCTTCCCTTCTCCCAGCTTCTCATTTCTATAAGTTCCTGCCATTTTTGCCACGTGCTCTCTTGGTCCTCTTTGCCCTCTTTGTTCTCAGCTCTCTCTAGGTCCACTTGTTGCTTCTGTCCCTCGTCATCCGTCCCATCCCCCCTCCCTTTTTTCCTTCTCTCCCTCCCTCTCCTCTCACGGCTGGTTCAATCTGATAGCCATGTTCAGTCTAGTACTTTCTCTCCCTGTTCTAGACTCTTCCAGATGCCTCTGGCTGTTCTCTCCCTCATACCTACAATAAAAACCTTCTCCTCGGCCATACCTTGGAGGGAGTGTTCCTGTCCTCATTTCATTCAATGAGTACTATGAACTGCTGTAGGATAGTTTTTCAGTAAAAGTGTATTCAAGGGCTGGGCATTGTAGCTCAGTTGGTAGAGTGGTTGGTCCTGAGTTTGTTTGTTTTATTTTATTTTATTATTTAAGAAAAAAATTAATTCATTTTACAAGGCCCTGAGTTTGAAGCCCACCCCCACATAAACCGAGCCTGGTGGCTGGAGAGGCAGGAAGATTAGAAGTTCAAGATCAGGCTGGGCATGGCGTTGCACACCTTTATCCCAGCACTGGAGAGACAGAGGCAAGAGAAGTGACTGCAAGGTCAGCCTGGTCTACATAAGAAGCTCTAGAATAGCCAGAGCTACATGCAGAGACCCTGCATGTAAAATAAATAAAAAATAAATCATACCAGGGTATCCTCGGCTATATAGGGAGTTTAAGACTAGCCTGAGCTACCTGAGACTTTACCTAAAAAAAAAGATAAGAGAAAGGGGTCAGGAGGTCAGGAGAGATGGATCAGCAGTTAAGAGCAAGCACAAACTGCTCTTCCAGAAGACCCAAGTCCAATTCCCAGCACCCACATGGCAGCCTACAACCTTCTGTGACTCCAGGTCCCTGGGTCTCTGACACCCTGTTCTGACCTCTGTGGGCACCAGGAACACACACTTGGTGAACAGACATACATGCAGGCAGGCAAAACACCCATACACATAAAATAATGAAGACGTAAACCAAGGCACTCTCAAATACACTGGAGGAAACATTGGGGAATTCCGTGGTCAGACTGACTAATCTTTATTGCTAATTGATGGAGGAGGGCCTGGAAGGGTTAAACTCTCCCCCTTTCACAGCTGAATTTAGGTTCCAGTTCTCTGAGAAGGACAAACCGGTGTCTTTCCCACTTATCTACAAGGCCCTTACATTCAGGGTCAAGAGAGAGAACAAACACAAGGTCTAAGTCAGCCTCACAGTATCTCAAGGACAAACCCAGCAGCCCCCTCTGAGTCAGGTCCAAGCTTGTGCAGATGTGTTCAAAAGTGATAAGACGCAATCAATTAGAAATATACTAATGTAACTGCTGCTTGCTTATCCAATTATGCAGCTGACCCTGAAACTCCCCTTAGCTGTGCTAAGAGGAGTCTGCAGGTCCCTCTCGGGGGTCATGGCCATTTTGTACAGGTGATGGAATCCACATGCGTGCTGGTATAATAAATGCTCTTTGTTCTTATATGCTATTTGAGGCTGGGGTCTTCCTTCAGTGTTTCCTCGGACCCTACAGACCCAACTCACTGTGGTGGTACCATCCCTAAGCAAATGGGTCTGGACTGTATAAGAAAGTTGGCTGAACACAAGCCAGAGAGCGCAAGCTTGTAAGTAGCCTTTCTCCATGATCTCTGATCCTGTTTCCTGCCTCCAGGTTCCTGCCTCGAGCTCCTTTCCTAAATTGTAACCTGTAAACTGAAACAAACCCTTTCATTCTCAAGTTGCTTTTGGTCGTGGCATTTATCACAGCAACAAATCTAACTGTGGACAACAGGTTACAGCAAAGAGGAAAATCTCTGCTTTAGATCTGATGCTATCTGATGAGAGCCTTGGCCTGCCCTTTGGTGGGAGCAAAGAAGCCAAAGGCCTGGTAAGTGAATCACAGGATGTAAGGTCAGACACACAGGTGAGCAAGGAATGAATGACTATTAAAGGAGATAAGGATAGCCCAAGGAAAACTGTAATTAGGCTCTGGACTTGCAACATTCCAGCCTCCACAATCACTGAAGTTCTAATCACTTAATTAGCTGTTCAAAAGGTTCAGTGTAAGATGTCATCCTCTCCAGGAGCTTTCATTCACAGATGCCCTAGAGGACCAAGCATCACATTTTGTGCAGACAGGAGCCAAATATTAATTTCCCCTCATTGTTTGGAAGACTCATTTTTAGGATCTGATGGAGATGAAGCTGAGTAGCAGGCAGGAAAGTATTTTCAGGAGAGAGGATGGCTGGCAAAGCTGGGAGAAACTCCTAGACCACCAAATAGCACCAAAGTCTAGCTGTTATGACCGGGGCTTGATTTATATATATTTTTTCTCTGTATTTGAGTAGCAGGAGTGATATGCCTAAGATCATAATAATTAAAAATACTAGACCAGTGGTTTGCAACATGTGAGCTGCAACCCCTTTGGGTGCCACATATCAGATATTTACACTACGATTCATAACAGTAGCAAAATATAACTGCTCAGTTTGTGACTTTTTAAACAGTTTGCCAATAGGAAACTCCTGATAACACTTGCTACATATCATGTTTTAATTGCTTGTACAGATAACTTTTAATTTTATTTAGTAAAATGTATCAAACTAGGACTTTTTGAATTGTAAATATGTGGTTTTATTAAAATAAAGTCATGTAAAATTGTTTTAAAAAACTAGCAAAATAACAGTTATGACATAGCAATGAAATAATTTTATGGTAAGGGGTCACCACATTAAGGTTAAGAGCCAGTGGTTTAACACAACAAAGTGAAGTTAGCAGATAAGAGAAATGGGTAATTTAACCAACCAAAATTATATATATTTTAAAAAAAAAACTAGATTAGCCAGGCGGTGATGGTGCATGCCTTTAATCCCAGCACTTGGGAGGCAGAGGCAGGCAGATCTCTGTGAATTCGAGGCCAGCCTGGGCTACAGAGTGAGTTCCAGGACAGCCAGGGGTATACAGAGAAACCCTGTCTCAAAAACAAATAAACAAAGTATTCATGTAGCTAGGTGTGGCCTTTAGGGGGCTGAGGCAGGGAAATCCTCAGGTTCAAGACCAGCCTGGGCTACATAGTAAATTCTAAATCATCATGGGATGAGACCCTATCACTAAAACACAAAATGACAACAAAAATCAACAACAACAGGAGGAAAACGGGTCTCAGCAAAGCCCTACACCTGCAGCTGCCTCCCTTCCGTCTAATCTGTAGCTATGATCTCACAAGGCACGTCATATTTTATGGCAGGGCAATTTTGATATTTTCCCCCATCCTTTTCCTATCTCTATCTTTTACTTACATGATATATCTGTCATCACAGACAGAGGAGGGGGAGCCTAAATTGATTATAAGGGACCAGACTGTTAATATTCTGGCCCACCCCTTGAAATCCTGCCCCTTGGCACAAATAAACAAAACGGGTACAACAAGGGTTTCTCTGTGTAACAGCCCTAACCGTCCTGGAACTCTCTTTGTGGACCACACTAGCCTCAAACTCACAGGGCATGCACC